TAACTTCAGAAACAGAATCATCTTTATTGGCCGAGTATGTTGAACACACTTTGAATTTGTCTCCGGTGGTATAATATGACGTAGAAGTATGGAAAGACTTTCCGTCATGTATGGTTTCTATTGTGCGGCAGTAACACCCAATGACAGCTGTGCGACAATGTGCAGAGTCATCGAGCAGGTGCAGATAATCGTTGCACCATTTTTGAAGTGACCAGTAGCAGTAATTGTAGGACAACTTTGGGTGTGCAATTATGCAGTGGGGGTGAATAATGAGGGATGGAAAGAAAAGTGGGGGGAGGGGGGGATAAGCGAGAGCGCCGGAGGTGGTGGGGTGCAAAGCGAGAGCTGAGAAGAGCTGAGGAGGCGCTTGGCCTGCGGGATTGCGGCGCGTTTATCCTCCTCTGCAGCCGCCTCGTGAAGCCCTACCTCAGGAAAAGACTTCTAAAGCAGGGTGGCCGCCACTGAGCTCTTAATACCCACAACATACACGGGTTGCTGGTGGGGGTGGGGGGAGGTGTGGAGGGGGGAGGTGGGGAATGCTTGTGCGAGTACTTGTATGTTGCATATCCTATCTGTGCAGACCTTATCCACTCGCCGCCGCATGAAGACATGAAGTTCACGGACAAACAGCCTTTGTGCTGCCATACATCCACTGACCAAGAAATACTTTGTTACTGAACTGAAGGACATTTTTCTTACTTGAGTATACATTGTAGCATTTATGTTTCTCTATACTTTTCCTCCCAACGTTTCATATCTGGGCCACTTCGCTAAATTTTTCCCGTTCACATGTAACTCTTTTCAAAATAAACGTCAGTTTCTGTCTCTTTACAACTCTAAATCGAATGATAAACCTATTGGATTTTTTTTAATCGTCCGACAAATTAAAAAAAAAAAGGTACATCATGAATAAAATCACCAATTTCTTTTTCTCCCTTAATACTTATTACAATAAAGATGTGAATTGCAGGAAGAATATTTGACTCTTTCACAGTCCAGTCCTTTAGTATTTGTTTAACTTCAGAAACAGAATCATCTTTATTGGCCGAGTATGTTGAACACACTTTGAATTTGTCTCCGGTGGTATAATATGACGTAGAAGTATGGAAAGACTTTCCGTCATGTATGGTTTCTATTGTGCGGCAGTAACACCCAATGACAGCTGTGCGACAATGTGCAGAGTCATCGAGCAGGTGCAGATAATCGTTGCACCATTTTTGAAGTGACCAGTAGCAGTAATTGTAGGACAACTTTGGGTGTGCAATTATGCAGTTGTTTGGTGCTGTAGAATATTGATCCACGACAATCGTTTGAGGCTGTAGAGAGCTCGAGCTACAATGATCAGTGTGCAAATACTGTCCCTCAAGGTGTGTGCAAAAAGAGCCACGATAGATTTGAATCGCTGTTCAGAGAGTTAATGGTGAGAGGAAGGAAGCTGTTTGAACCTCTGCTGCTTTTGGTGCGCGTGGTTCGATAGCGCTTACCTGAAGGTGGTAGCTGGAAGAGGTGGTGAACAGGGTGTCAGGGGTCCAGCAGGATTTTCCGTGCCCTTTTGTCTTGGTTCTTGGATGTCAATATTTTTTTTTCAGCGGCGGTGCAAAAGCATCCAGCAATCCATGGGCGTGGGTAGGGCGGTACCAATGATTTTTATTCCCCGCAGTCCTAACTGTCAGTTGCATTTTGTCCTTTTTTGTGGCGGCACTGAACCAGGCTGAAATGTAATGGAGGAACACAGGGAAGACAAATGGCAAAAATTAGAGGGGTTCGAAGGATGGAGAGGCGGTGGGGGGTTGAACATTATCATCTTTTTCTCATGAACATCATGTTCTAATGTTTTAACGTGAAAAAGAATGAATACATTTTAAAAATGAGGCTGATTTATTTATTTTTACAGGTTTTCAACGACCGGTATTCTAAAATAGTTTATACTGGCTGAATAAATTGGTCTACTAATACTAATACTATGATCACGGGCAATTTGAGCAAATTTGTGATGTCGGAAGTGTGCATCAAACTGCGTCAACCTTCGCAATCATCACTTCCAAAGAAGGAGCGCTTAGCCTCAAAAAAGCTTGGTGACCACTGCGGTAGAGTAACACAAATATGTAAAAAAAAAAAATCTACAGGACTATTTTTATTAATTTCTGTACTTTCGTATTTGACTAAGATCAAAAGTGAATCCGCACTTCGAAATCCGATCTTCCACACTGGGCTCTGTACTTTGACTTAAGAACACAGCGCGAGTACTTTTGCCCCCTCCGCTACCATCCGCAAAGTGTTTCAATAAAGAAGAAGCCCTGCCCACTGGGAATTGCTCTAAAACTCCCTTCGAGCCCCAGCTTTTGGAAGAACAGCAGAGACGCCTTGCGATGTTCTCCAGAGGCTCCCGAATGATTAATTCAACAAAAGAAGTACCCGGGGGTGATAAAGATGAAAGATATGAAAGATATTTCCTCTTTTTAGATGTGCCTTACTGACAGTATTTGACAATTGTGCAGACTCTCTCGCCGTCATTTGTGTCAGGTTTCCTTCCCGGGCTAATTAAAAGTGACTCTTTTGTATCTGACAAATACAAGCTGACATGCATACTCATGACATTGCGTTTGCAATGCGTGATGGCGGAGATAATTGTATCGCATAAAGTCCCATGAAACAATTCTTTTCATTAATACGAACCACGATAATATATTCTACAAAGTATATTATATTGTGGGCGGCACGGTGGTCGACTGGTTAGCATGTCTGCCTCACGGTGCGGAGGCCGTGGGTTTCCTGTGTGGAGTTTGCATGTTGTCCCTGTGCCTGCGTGGGTTTTCTCCGGGTACTCTGGTTGCCTCCCACGTATCAAAAACAGACAATACATGCTGATTGAATGATCTAAATTGTTCCGAGGTGTGATGGTGAGCGCAAATTGGTTGGTCGTCTCTGTGTGCCCTGCGATTGGCCGGCGACAAGTTGAGGGTGTCCCCCGCCTCCTGCCTGAAGACAGCTGGAGCAGTCTGCAGCACACCCGTGACCCTCGTGAGGATAAGCGCATTACAAAATGGATGAATGGATGGATCATGTTTTGATAATTAATGCCCACAAAAAGCAATGCTGATTTTCAGCCAGCAAGATGCACACGTACGTTTCTTGCTTTCATCTCCAGCAACTTTTACTCCAATTCGGAAAATAGCTTTCAAATTTGGCCTGTCTTCTTTCATGCTCGCTCGGAGATGTTCTCAAATTGTCACAAAGTTGATGCAAAATTGTAAAAAAAATTGAGTTTGTAGCTCTCATAACTGAGTCACTCGTGTACCCCCCCCCCCAGCAAAGTGACAAATTGTGGCCCTTGACAGCAATGACTCCTCAAGAATCCGTATCTTAAAAGGAACAGGAAACATTCTTCTTCCTTGTATCAATTTGTATGGTCATCACCGTTGACCAACTGCTGCCTGCGGTAGATTTTTATTGACCCGCGACATCCGACGGAACATCAAAACCTGAGCGAGACCACACGGCGTGCTATTAGACGGCTAACCACCCGTGTGATAACATCTTAAGTGCTCTTTAATGGCGGCGTAGAGGGGCGGGGGGGGGGGCGCCGCCGCCGTATGTACGTGCACTGATGCCTTTGTTGTGCGGATGTTTACTCGAGCATGAGCCCTTACGATCAAATGCTGTCTCATTAAGAGCTGAAACGGGACGCCGGAGAATAGAGCGCATGGAAATATGTTCAAGAAGGCCTGTGAGGCCTTTGAGGGCAGCCCGATATTAAGGGGCTTTAGCACGACGTTGTGCAATTTGACTTGTAATATACATTTTTAGAGACCTATTAAAAAAAAAAAAAAGCAGTCGTATTTGGAGGTGAAGAACAGCAGTGCTGTTTAGGAGAACTTGTGACCTCCTCCAAGGAGTACATCATCAGGATGATGTTTTTTCTTTCTTTGTTTGTTTGTCCCAAGCAGGATGCTACACGCGATCAGATCGTATCCGTCTTCGGATTGAGTGAAGCCGCATGCGGCTCGCTGTGCAAGGGTTTTTGTGACACTAGTAACTGCAAGCAATTGTACGTTTGTGATCGGGATGGAGACGGGTTGAAAAAAATGGCCCCGCTGGAATGGAATGGAGTGTTTTGTTTTGTGGAGTCTCCCACTCGATTCCCACAGTTTGACTGGTAAACGTAGCGCAGGTAATAGATGACGAGTTTAATGGGCAGACAGATATTTCTCACAAGAGGGGGGGGGGGGCATCCGATGAATAAATGTCAGTGCTCCAACATCGAGTGCGCAAGCCAAAGAGGGTGACTTCTTTCCATCAGTGCGTGCCAAGTCTACATCTGCCCTGCTTCCATTTACGTGACCTGCATTCCCGTCAAGCAAGATTGTAAATAATGTTCCAGTGAATTAAGCGGACTAAATCCTCAAGATCCGTCTTGCTGACAGACTCTTTGCTTTGTAATCCGGATTCAGAGCAACCAAAAGTTTTTTTTTTTTTTTTTTCCCCAGAATTTACATTATAATCAGGTTAAAGTTGACTCGATGAGGCTACGGTGGGATGGCAATTACCTGTGCTAAATAGCCCACATTGCACTTCCTGACATTGCAAGAGTTAGGCGAGGACCAGGAGTCCTGCGGATGCGGAACGAGTAATTAAATGAAGATTGCAGGCTCTTGAAGGATCTCCGGGGCTAACACGGGACCTCCTCTTCCTCACTCCCAAGATGAAGACAGTTAATGATTGTAGTGTATTTTTCAAAGCACTTCAGCTCTTATATTCCATAGCTCAGTTTGGCCCTCTCCACGCAGATCAACCACCGCCGCCGCTGCTGCCGCCGCCACCACCTCTTTCATTCGGGCCATTTCTCCCTTCATGTTCCATTAGCAAATTGCCAAAGTGTGCCTTTCTCCTCCCCGCGCGCCCACTAACTCCTCCATTAGAAAGCTAACAGGGGAATGTATTAATTTAAAAAGCAGGAAAAACAATCAGCTCCCCTCCGGGGTCTCTTTCTGACATTGCAGAAGCGAGGCCGTTGGCTGCGGACCTGAGAGTCCTTTCTCAAGCGTGGCGCCGAGGTCATCGCACGGAGGGAGGGTGAGTCTTTTATTTGTGTAATCCCACCGGCCGGGAAGTTCTGCTTGACCGGCCCGCTGCTGATTTTGTCCGACTGTGTTCTGATGTCATGTGTGTACCCGCCGAGATAAGATAATCCCATCCATCTTCCGGAGAGTTGTAACAGGGAAAAAAAAAAAAATACAAGCTGCTATAGGACACAAGCTTTGACCTTGGACCACCGTGTTTCTTGTTAACGCTCTACCGCTCACATATCTTGACCAAACACCTTTGAACTTGACGGGATTTATTTTTCCTCGGCCCAAGCAAGCGCATTAAGTATTTGAAATTATATCTGTTACAAGATGTTCTCAGACAGCCGGGGACAAAGTTCAAAGTCTTGACTTTATTTGACTTACCAAATGTTGACGGTTCTTTCTTTTTCAAATGTCAAGAAACCAAGAACAACCCGATACGCTACGCTGGGCGCAATATGATTTGGTGTGATGCAATAAGATGCAATACGGCCCAACCTTATATGATACGCTAGAAATGCGGTACGGAACAAAATGTACGTTGCAGTACTGCGATGCAGTTATGCGGCAGTGTACAATGAGGCACGGTACGTTTTGCTGTGATACCGCATAATATATGATATCACGCAATACGTTGTGATATTATTCACGCGTGTACGGAACAGTGCAATTGATTCAGAAAAGTGATTTATTCTGTAGGTGACGATACAATATTGTACGATAAATTATGACCCACAACGTATGATGTGATATAAAGTGATATCATGCGATATGACATGATATAATGAACACAAATTTACGGTACATTCAAGAACATGCTTCGATATTGTGTAGGGCTTGGCAGTTCATGCAATACTATATGTTACATTATATTAAGATACGATGTAGTACAGTATGATACGACACAATACGTTACGATATGTAATGATATAACCAGATGATAAAGTGAATACTCTACTAATGTGAGATTGACCATACAGCACGATGCAACACTCGAGGACACCATACGATACCTGAAATGCATTTTTTAAAATATAACCATCCACGATAAAGTCCCACATTAGCAATGACAGACTTTTAGCAATTGAGCTTCTTTTCCTGAGTGTGTGAGCGCGGTTGCGCCTATTTGTTTACCTCCAAATCTGCGGATTATTGCGCATCCAAAAACTACCGAGTCATCAACTCAGGTCTCCCCGAGTCTTAATAAGTCCTGTGCCGCGTCCTCGTATATCAGGGTTAATATCAAACCTGCGGCAGATCCAATCATTGAGATTATGCGTGTTTGATTCTGTTCACGCCATCTGCTGTGTGATATAATTGAATGTACCGCAAGCTATAATTTGATATATTTGTTTACGCATTGTGTGTGTGTGTGTGTGTGTGTGTGTGTGTGTGTGCGTTGTCGCTCATTCAGCTCAAATCAAAATAGAAGAGTCTTGCAGGGATTAGTGGTGCCCACTGAACTTGTTATGGCAATAACCTCTGCACTTGATGAAGGTGATACAGCGCCTCTCATCCTGATGAGCGTATGAGACCGCATTGAACCACAAAAATAATCATCTGCCGGTTATTTATTTCTTTTAATGAGCAGGACCGCTCGAACTAAAGATTCTGCACCAGCAACCATTTGTTCAAACGATGGTTATTTAATATTTATAATGTCTCGTGTTTGTTTTTTCTCTTTTGATGAACGTATTGTGTTTATTTAATCTACCGTACTGTATGTACAATACGTATATGCATATGCATATATTGGCAGCCGTAGCTTGTGAAGCGGTTTTATTCCAAGCGGTGAATTACTGATACGATATAGCATGACGCTGCCCGACCCCAATAACACCCTCCGAATCCAGTCATGTATAATTTATTGTACAGCATTTACTGGGGGAAATCAAAAATGGTGCTTTTTACAAAAACACGAATGTTAGGTTGTGGTAAAGACGGTCACAGATGTCTTCATTCAATGATATGTTTATTATTTCTGTTGTTGTTGTTTTGTCAATTTGTTCCTGTTATTTTCTGTCTGCTGCTTCTTCTTTTATCTTGCTCACCAATGTTCGAATGGGGACTCCGTTTAGCTAGCGTCGCGTACATTTCCGCCATGTCTGATGGGAGGAATGTGCTCACAGCTCGCCGCTGGTCATGTAATATCATGATTCTTGATCATAAAACACACAGCCCGATTTATATTGCCCTTTGGAAGGTGATCGAGGGATTGACTGAGGCTCAGCACGATACGATATTCAGGAACACGTGCGATACTTTCGGATACTGTACTGTGTATGATATAGTATGATGCAGTAGGATACACCAAGCTATTTGATTCGTGTGATGCAATTAATGAGTAGATATACGGCAGGTGATTCATGAGAATTGTATGGAAATTGTTTAGGGTTTTGCTCGTGACTCCAAAAAACCAACATTTTGGAAAATGTGAAACACGAACGACCGTCGTCTTGCTCAATCTCCCAAACGGCTTCTGTGGTTGGCAGAGGGAGACGCCGGTCACAAGCATGTCAGTGGTACGCAGCCAGAATGAGGCATTACTTGTTTTAAATCCTCCAGCGCTGATCAAAAGCAACCTTTGCCACACACACACACACACACACACACACACACACACACACACACACACACACACACACACACACACACATGCGCGCACACATCCAAGCCTTAATGATAAAAAACTTGAGCAATAAAGACCATCGCTGACCTTTGTGTCTCTCCTCGCCGTGCAGATGGTCATCGCTACGTTGCACGCTCGTCTCTTTTTACATCACTGCTTTTAGTCAACGGCCCATTTTGCTATTGGCCTCCTGTCATCTTTTTTTATTGAAAAAGGAAAAAAAAAAGTTCGAGCTTAGCTTGTCCTATAAATGTGGTCAATATGCTCTAATTAAATCATACCATGTAAAGCTCTCACCATCCAATAAATCGTAAAACATTTATGTGACGAATGAGTACATTTTTAAAGGCCCTTTTATTGCGAAAGTAAGCTCATATTAAAATGTTGCTTGTGTCAACACTCTTTGGAGGACTGTGATGAAAGAAGATTTGGATTAAGTTCAAATAATGAAAAAAAAAATGACCCCGTCATGTCTTGTTTGGGAGGCTTTTGAGAGGCTTTTGCAAATCTCAAATACTCACAGTTCAGTCCAGTTTTTTTTTTTTTTTTAATGCACAGGCTTAAGCAAAACTGTGTCAATATTTCCTGTGTGTCCTTATGAGAGCGCGGGTGTCGAATTAAAGGAATAGCCAGGATGCACATGACATGGCTTTTCATCCTACTGAACCGTCATAGGGAATGCATTGAACAACATATTTCATGATCTGAATCATTCCAAGTTTTAATTGGTGTTCTACTTTGTTTTTACGGTGGCTCACGAAAACAAAACCGTGACTTAAGTCTGTAAAGTGGGATGGGTAAAATTCCAAAACAATGTGACACAGGCGTGACGAAACGACCATTTTTTCCACAACTCATCAACTCATCATTCTTTCTTGCCTCAGTCGACCCACAAATAATTCTTTTGAACTTGTTTCAGCCAAATTCAATCGATGACTCCAAACAGGTGTTGGTGCATCAATTTCCATGTGGAATAATCATTTCATTTCATTTTTTTTTAATGTAATTGAACATAGTTAACAGTCATTTATTTCTGCTCTGATTTCTTGACCTTTTCAATGATTGAATGCCATGATTTCATGAAGTAAAGCAATTAATTCAGAATTATTCTTGGCATTAATAATGCCATCCTGCTGCATGAACTCACTGAAAATGTCATGTCAGTCACCCATGAGGGAGGTGCTGGGAGGGAACTATTTATGAAACCTTACATTTCGCACTCGAATATCTTCCCCCGGCGGAACGGCGGTCGGCTGGTTTGCATGTCGGCTTCGCAGTGCAGAGGGTGCAGGGCCCAATTCCTGTGTGGAGTTTGCGTGTTCCCCCTGTGTGGGTTTTCTCCGGGTATTCCAGTTTTCGCCCATGTTCCAAAAACATGCATGAAGGTTGATTGGGCACTCCAAATTGTCCCACGGTGTGATTGTGATCACGAATGGTTGTGCGTACATGTGTGCCCTGCGATTGGCTGGCAACCGGTTCAGGTTATCCCCCGACTGCTGCCCCCGAACACAGCTGGGATAGGCTCCGGCATACCCGCTACCCCCGTGAGGAGAAGCGGATTAGAAAATGGGTGGATGGGTGGATGGACATATTTCCACATTTAAATTGCTGCCCCCGAACATAGCTGGGATAGGCTCCGGCACACCCGCTACCCCGTGAGGAGAAGCGGATTAGAAAATGGATGGATGGGTGGATGGACATATTTCCACATTTAAATTGAGTAATTCATATTTTGACTATTTTATGGCATTCTTTGGTGATTCTTTCATTTCAGTTTGGCGCCAACAACCCTCCATACATTCCACCGGATAGAGAAAATACGAAAAGTGACGTCAATCTTCTCAACATAATGCACGGCCACAACATTGCTGACACTCTGTAATCAGCGCATTCCAAATATTGCTTTCACAAAACACCGCCAGACGGCCGAAATTGTGCAGGTATGCCTGATGAAGTCTCGCTAATGATCAAACATGAGCAAAACGGCATTCCGGCAACCGGGGGAGTGCATTAAAGCCGTTCTGGCAATTAGTGGTCTCCTAACTAAGTAGCCTTTACTCAGACGCCATTTGTCACACATCTGTTTACGAGCTTCCTGAGAGTTTGTCTACATTTTCTTCATGTTTGTGCTGTCACGTGCCTCCATTTGTCCCATAATCCGGCAGGCTGTTGGCACAGACCTCAGCGCAAGGATCTTGGGGGGTGGGGGTGCGGGGCGGGGGAGTGGGATTGGGAAATATTCATGCCTCATTCATCAAAGAGACCTTACTGGATGTGTTCCCAACAATGGTCCTCAATTGTTTTTACACCAAGTGCCACAAAATACTTTGCTCTCCATGTGCCACCATTATGACCAACATTACCTAATCCCCCCCCCC